CTCCTGTACTTCAAGAATCGGTTTCAGTGTTTAACTCATAATTAGCTTCCCCTCCCCTCTTTTTCTCGAAGGTTCCTCCGCTCTCCCCGAGTTGCCAAAGAAGTTCTCCTCCCCCACGCCCTGTCAGATAAGATTTTGGTTTGCCTTCTCTTGAGAACCTTGAAATAATTTTTCCAGCTTCAGCTTGTAGAGCAGTTTTAGCATGTTTTATCTGTCAGTGCACAGTTCTGCAGTGAGCTAAAAAGTCCTGTAGCATCTAGAAGCCCAACAGAAAACTTTAGGCTTCCTTTTTGGTGCAAAGACAGGAGAAAATGAGCTGCAGTGCCCAGTAACATTTCGAGTCATAAAGGGATCTTGCTCATACCCTGCACAGAGACCAGGCTTTGGGAGAACCGAACAGGTAGCAGCCAGTGTAACTTCATTGTCATGCTGTTCTGGGTAGATGTGCATGCATTCTCCTTCGATTTGCACTAGCCGAATATAGAATTGAGCTTGGAACAAGGTCTTTCTGTCAGTGACAACAAACCCTATCAGTTAAGTGACAGAGTTGCAGACTCGGAGCTCCAGTGTGACCTTCTTGCCAATGCCACATGAAGAACGTGTTCCAAGTCTTTTCATTTGTCGGGTTCTGGTACTGACTGGCCGTGCCAAAGGTCTGGATGCTGCTAGCTCTGGGGTGCTTTAATCTGTGTGTGCATTATGGTGTTACTGCCCATTACCCATAATCCTTTTGTGTCACCCATGGAGAGATAAGTCAGATCTGAGGAGGAGAACCTTTTGGTCCCAGTTCATCAGGTGTTACCTGGTTGTGGGAGCAGCTGTAATGTCATCTTCTGCTGTTTGTCTGTTTCCCCAACAAGCATCTGAGGAAAACGAGGCATTTGAGTGCTCACCACCGGATCTCTACATGTGGCCCAAAAGAAACATTGGTTGAACTAAAGTACTTGTTAAAGTAGTTGTAAAATACTCACATCATTATAAAAAGAAGGTGGAGAAGGGGGGGATGAAGCAAGAATACAGAGTTTTTATACTGAAACTCCTCTTTGGAGCACTCCTGCATGTCAGAGACTCAAGTGGTGATGCTGTTCTTTTATACCATGGTCTTTAGAGGGCGCCCTTGAATCACTGTATTTGTTTCCTAAGCAAGTTTTTTAACTCTGTTTTGTTAGCAATAAGGTGCCAGAGATTTATCAACTGTTTTTTTTAATCCCCAAGAGAAATATCGACTTATTTGTAACTATTTTATTTATTAATTTATTAACAATTTGTTTGCCTTTTATTAGATAGAACAGTGAAGACAGACAAGTAAGCAGGGGGGTGTCGGGTCAGAAAGCAGCACATCGGAATCGAACCTGATCTGCTCTGAGCTACACCGGCATCTGTTTGTGACTTTTAATTCATTTCTATTTTTCACCAAAATGTGACGTTTGTTCTGTTGATGGAAGAAACTAACAGCAGTGTTCCTGCTGCTTGGTTTGTATGTAGTTGTGTACTGAAGAATTTGTCTCATATTTTAATTTGTAAGTGTTGACAGATGTAGTATTTTTTTTAACAGTGATGTTTATTGTGTAGACACAGAAATCATTTGTTGCCTGCTTCACCCACCCACCCCCACACCCAAAACAAAAACATATGAGTTGTTTGAGCATTATGAGAGTTTTTAAATTCATTTCAAATGTTATAAAAAATGTGTGTGGGGAAAAAAAAAAAGAAATCTTGTGTTCAATGTTGTGATGTTGGTTCAAAGGATGAAGACGCTGACTTACAAAAGATTACAGTCGAGTAACCTTCAAGAACTTAATTTATAAGCACATCTTTTATGCTACTCAAGCGAATGAACATGATAGATGAGAGGCAAAAACTGTCAAATAATAGCAAGCACGGTTTATATTTGAGACCAAAAGCCTGCGTTTAAAACCAGGTTTTGAATTTAATGACTGAAGTTGTCTGAGAGTGTCGGAGCCTGGAAGCTAAAGGCTCTATCCCTGAGGGTCTGAAACTTGGAGAGAGGAATGTACAGCAACCACATGTCAACACAGGAGGAAGATTTCTCAGGTGGGGCTGGGGGGTGTAGAGCTGAAGGAGATCAGAGAGGTACTGAGGGCCATGAACATGAAGGAACATGCAGGTAAGGAGTCTTATATTTAGCTTCATATTGCTCGTGCCAGGTTGTGCCCTGTCTTTCTTTCAAAACAGCTTTAATTATTTGTGGCAAAGATTCAACAAGTTGTTAGAAACATTCCTCAGAGATTTTGGTCCACATCAGCGTCACACAGTTGCTGCAGATTTGTCTGCTGCACATCCATGATGAGAATCTGCCGTTCCACCACATCCCGAGTCTGGTCTATTAGATTGAGAGCTGGTGACTGTGGAGGCCATGTGAGTACAGGGAACTCATTGTCATGCTCAAGAAACCAGTCTGAGATCATTTGAGCTTTGTGACGTTGTGCATTATCATCAAAAGACCAGTTCGATGTGGTGATAAAGGGTTGGACATGGTCTGCAAGAGTACTCGGATAGGCTGTGGCATTTAAACAATTCTCTGTTGGTATTTAGGGACCCAATCTGTGCCAAGAAAATATCCTCTACACCCTCACACCATCAACAGCAGACAAAAATGTTTATACAAGGCAGCATGGATCTGTGCTTTACTGCTTACCACCAGATTTTGATAGCAAAAGTTCAATTTAACCCTCGGTTTCCTGTTCTTAGTTGACAGGAGTGATCCTCTGTGTGGTATTCTGCTGCCGTAGCCCAGCTGCTTCAAGGTTCTGCTTCTTCACACCTTGGTTGTAACAAGTGGTTATTTAAGTTACTATCAGCTCAACGCAGTCTGGTCAGTTTCACCCAGAGAAACTGCATAATGGATGTTCCCTTAAAATGCCTCCAAGCACAAAAATAAAAAACAAAAACCTTCGTATTAATTACAAGGTTTCGTCTTCATTTTCAGTAGGAATATTAAGATGTTAAACGAGCAGACAAACATGTAAAAGATGAGGCAGTGTGAGTCTGTGCAGTGCAAATGAACAATTAGACCACTGTTGTGTGTCACGTAGTCAGATGACTGAAGGACAAATGGCCTCTGTGTGATGCAGAAATTTCAGGCAGTCTTTTGCTTGGAGTACTGAAATTTTTTATGTTCAGAAGTGTAGAGCAGGTGCCAGCAGCGCGAGTTTATGCCTTTTCATGATTTTGCTTACTGTATAAAAATTCGGTTTATATGTATGTGTATAAACCCAGCTGCAATTTTTAATATAAAAATATAATAATTAATTAGTTAGACCATATAATTAATCATAATATAAAATATTTGACTTGTAAACTGGTAAATTAAAGAGCTCACATTGTGGCTCACTCTTTAATTCATAATGATGAGCATTTCCCTCCACTAGAGGGTGCTAAGCACCATCGGGTTCCCTGCTTTGTAGACCAGAGATCAGATTGTGTGCAGCTTCGATGTTTCGTTTGGATTTTCTTTTTAAATAATCTTATAAAAACAAGACAAAACAACCTGATTTTTACACATTTGGGAACATCAATCTTCTGGATAGCGACCAAAGGCATCCATTAAGTTATACACTGCACATTATAATGAGGCTAGGAAGGGGTCCTCTGGCCTGTATTAGGAAAACTAATTCATGGAAAAGACAATAAATGACAGGAAATAGCTGCTGACTTACACTCTGACTGATCGATTGCAGACTGTTGGTTTAAGATGGAAATAATTCATATTTCCCAGCAACTATGCTTTAATGGGTTATTTATATTTAAAATAGACGGGAAACATGGAAGGATAAATGAACTGACCTATCAGCCTTGAGACCTCATAGGCACAAGGGCCGAAGCAAATATCAAGAACAAGTTACTCAATGGGACCAAATAACAAGAGACACACAACAGTCAGGAGATGCTAAAAGAAACACATGAAGTGAAAAACTAAAAATGATGATAACAAATATCTGAACAACTTCTTTAATTCCACGAGTGTATCAGGACAGCACGAGATTCACCGATATGATCCAACACAAAATTATTTACATTCAAGACGACAATGACAAATGAGCACCTCGGTTTTATCTGTGTTCCCTTTTTCCTCTCTCTGCTTGGTTATGACACGTGCTTGGTGTAAGTCCACAAATATGTTTAGTTCAGATAAGACTGACAATGGCAGGGTTAAAACAGGCCATCAGACAGAAAGCACAGCTATTCGCTAATCTCCAGGGACTGCAGGGATACACATAACTCGTGTGGATTGAGATCCTGGACTATAACTGGGATTTACAGTCACTTGGCAATTTCATGGATACAGTTATTTGAGGAGGGATTTAAGATCTCAGTTCTCTGTGGGAATAAAGTGGAATTGGTCCCCTGTGAAAATATTACGCATTATACAAAGATCCATCAAAGAATTTTCAAAGGAAACAGGAAGAAATTAATACATAAACACCGTGAAGCACAGTCTCTGTGGTGACACAGATATATACACTTCATGTATATATATATCTATATATATATATATAGATATATATATATAGATATATATATATGTATATATATATGTGCCTGCATTTACACCAATCAGCCAAAACATTAAAATAACCTGCTTAGTGAAAAGATCTCTTTGGAGAAAGGGTGTCAAACATAAGGCCCGGGGGCCAGAATCTTCCTGACACAGACACCAATCTGGTCTACTGGAAAATGTGAAAGAGGGCGTAGTCTCGACTTTTAACTCTATTTTGGTATATTTAACAGCTTTTTCTGCTGATAAGGACCACCCTCCTGGGCATTCATGCTACACTAAAGCATTAACAATTAGAAAAAAAACTGAATTTTTGTTTGCCCCCATTTTTGTTTACTCTTAAATATCTACTCTTAAAACATTTCTTGTTTGTTTGTTTTATAATGGGTCCACATTAAAAACAATAATAATAAAATAATTTTAAAAAAATGTGAATTAACAACAATGTTCTGTTTTATAATTACAGGACAGTCAAGGAAATGAGATACCAGAACTTTTTCTGTAATTTTACACATTTATTTCTTACAATTTAACCCCAAAGTCATCCTGATAAAATTAGTTCATGTCTTATGGCAACATTTTTTTTTTTAATCAAGCCAAAAAACTGAGACAAAATTTTGAAATTGCACTTTTTTCTTATATTAAGATATCACAGGCATTAAATGTGTAGATACGCCTAACCCACTTGAAATCAAAGTGGGCTGTATGTGCCCCCTCAATGTAAAATGAATTTGGCATCCCAGCTTTGGAGGCATGGATGCAGGTTCACTGAGTCTGTGGCAAACTTTGTGTTCTGTGGAATGGAGGGTGGAGCTTGGACGGGGCTTTCTCGTGCCTTCGTGCAGATCCTCAGTCAGAATGGGTAAAGTTTGGAGGCCAAGTCAACATATTTTACTTTACATCCATACATACGTCCAGTTTTTGCAGTGCGTATTGTGCACTGTCCAGTTGGAAGAGGCTGCTGCCCTCAAGGAGTGCCTTCGCTAATAAGGTGGAAGAAACATTATTTAGATGGTCTCTGAATATCAGCGTAACATCCAGATGAATGGCAGCACCTAAGGCTTCGCAGCAGATTTTTGCATTGCAAGAGATGATCGGAATTGTTCATCTTGTTTTTAATGTTATAGCTGATTGGTAATGTATATGCAGATGCACTCAAATGAATACAGTCACACCAACATAACTTCACTAGAATAGTCCCCACATCATAAGCCTAAAGGAAATATGAGACAATATGTGAAAACAGAGACACGCAGACTCGGACAGCTTGTGTACATGAGTGGAACAAAGTGTCCTGGCAGTCAGACCTAGTCGAGGTACTCCAGCTCCAGAAGGGTAAACTGAGTTCATGTGACACTGCAGCGCATTATTGCTCGCTCTCCTTGAGCTGATCCAAGTTATTTAGTTGATGCACTGAATAAGTCCCAGCGTCCTTAAATGTGATCGTCTGGAAACTGGCGGGCACACCCTGAGAGGAAATAGGCAATTTTTACACTGGCATTTGAAGTGAAGACACACTGCAGATTTTCAAAGGCTTCCTGTTAATCAGGTGATTGATTCGGGCATCAGTGTAATTCAGTACATTTGCAAAATAAGACTGAAAAGGCAAACTTTAAAAATAACACGGAGATAAAAGAATTGTGCTGTTAAGGCTGTAATATTAGCATTTGCAGAATAAAGTGATTTGTTTTCACCACTTGAGGTAAATTTGAGGTAATTTAAACAAAAATTGTTAAATTATTTAATACAGTATGCACAACAAAAACTATAAACATACATTTTAAAAATAGAAACTTTAATCAATTAAAGTAATACTAGAAGTAAATAAGGCTATGCTTGCATAATAAAAAGCCAGGAAACCCTGCCCAAGTAGAACTCAAAGTAAGCAAGAATAAATAGGGGTTTTTTAGTCATTAGGTAAATCATATGTGAAAAGGTCACCGATTATGAAGGCCCTGTCACCTCTACTTTTTTAGCCTGGATCTAGTAGAATAGGGCTGCAAAAGTTACGTGCAATTACTTAATCAGTAATGAAAAATGAACCGGTACTCAGTGACTTTCTTTACATAAATGTAATTAAGAAGCTGTTGCATAAAAATGGCACGTAGTCAGGAATCATGCATGACATGTGTGACAAAGGCTGTGTGAAAAGGTAGATAGGAAACTTTTCTTTTCTTGTGCATTTAAAGCACAATAGAAACACAGCTGATCCAAAACACAAAGAGCAAGCCAAGAGGACAAGAACAACTTTGTGGAATCAGGCCAGATCAGCACGTCTAATAAGTATTGTGATCAAACTGCTTCCTCCTCTTGGTGGAAGTCTGAATGAATGAGATAAAAGAGCAGGTCAACGGGTTTTCCATAAACTGGCTGCAGGTTAGGTCAACCAGGTTTGTAAATCCATGCAGAAACAACAACAGGATATTTTCACAAAGGCATACAGAGAGTCATTTCCCATCACCATCAATGATCGCCACAACAAACAGCCTCAGTCCACGCACACAGACGAGCTCCACAGAGCTGATCTACATCACTTTATTTTATTTAGAAATGCTGACTGCATTGAATTATATCACATTCTGCAACCAACTGCAACTAGTGTTGACTAAATGGCTGCCCAGAGCTTGATGGTTGTGCACATTCACGATCCCTTTGATGACAGGGCAATTGTCCAGACGACCTGATTGGAGGCAATCTTTCTGCAAACAGTTGCAGTCTGACTTGGACTGACTGCAATCACTCTTAGAGATATTGTTGAAATTTTGCAAAAAAAAACCCCTGCTAATTTATAAATACAGACAGATTTGTGACATTTTGCCATCAGTCTGAATGAGTCTTTGACCAATGACCACAGCTCAAAGGGACCCGACTCAATTGGCTGCCTGCAAATGTAATCGTTAAATGTGAATTTCTACCTATACAGATAGTTTAGGTTCAAATAGACACTTTAAATGTTCACTGATGACACCAGTGCATAACTATAGACCGTAAACAACTTTTACCGTATTTTCTTTCAGGGAGAATAAATTATCAGCATGGCAGATGCCTCATCTTTTAAATAACTGAGGTCAGTCAGCTTTGTGTATAATTTACCTGCAGGCTGTGATAGCTGCAGGGAGCCAGGCCATTGGATGTGCCACAGTCACGTCTCACCTCTGAGCACAGACTGAGCTGCATGGGGGAGGAAAGTGAGGGGTGAGCTGCACAAAGTGTTACCACGCAAGGGTTAGACACCTTAAAGAGACAAAGAAGTCAAAGTTAAATTGTGAGAAAAATACAGATGCATGTTTGTGCATAAATATGATGGTGAGCACTGCTGTTTCACACGCACCGTTTGCGATGCCGGGCTGTGCTGGGATGAATGCATAGAGGGCAAGGAGGTGTTATAAGACAGCAAGCAGGGCTGCTGACGCCTGTCCACGGATGCTGAGGAGTGAGGCCACAGGCCAGATGCTGGTGTAGACGGAGACTTCGTGTTCCTGCCCAGGCTGTTTGACTTACTTTCCCTCCGTTGGTATTCTATCGGAGATTGAAGAGCTGCAGCAGACAGGAAGATATGTTGCATTATTCAGACAGACCAAACTCTTAAATCAACAGTCGTATAGAAGAAAGACTGAGCTCCGGTACCATTAAGGAAGTTCCTCTGAGTCTCTAATATCTGGACCACATCACTGTGCCAAGCCTGCTGTATATCCGGAGATGATGCCTGCATGATGAAGCGCGTCACACTGCCGTCAGTGCCTCGGGAAGTCAGGACCAGAAAGCATGGATCTTCTTCAGAGTGCTCCTCCACACCAAGGCAGCTTACCTGCAAAACACAACATGCTCATTTTGAACATTAACAAAAGCACTCAACACTCAGCACTCAAATATAATCTCACCTTGATGCTGTTTTTAAAGGTGTACCCCGGCAAAGGGAAACCCTTTTTCTTATCAATTGGCTCACTGAAGATGACCAGCTGCTCAAACAGGAAGACCCGCCTCTCCCTCGCTTTGGACAGGAAGCCACTTTCCTGCTCGCTGACGGAGAAGGTATCCTGCTGGAGCAGCTTCCCCTGAGCCGTGATTTTCCCCTGAGCAGTACATATATCATATACCATTGTCAAAGAACACAAGTCATCCCGGATATGCGTCTTATTTTTTAAGAACACATTAAAAAACGGCTGGGATCTTACCTCAAAACCTTGGAGCCTTCCCACATTCATCATATCATTACATCGTTTTGGCACAAAACACATAACCTCCACTGCTCTCTGAGTCAGATGGATAGCAGTGAAAACATAATTTTAGTGTGCGATTGAAATGATAAAGCATTTTATTGGAGTTTCCATTTCATAATGAGCTCGTACCTGCAGCTTCTCCACATCCTTCCCAGCTTTGCTGTAATACTTCAAGAAGTCCTGAAGGTGCCAGTCAATAAGAGATTTATTTTAATTTTCATAAAATAAACTGAAACAACTTGAATAGAAAAATGTAACATAAAGTAAGGAAATAAGGACTTATAATGGTTCAGTATAATAAAAACCTCCTTGTGACTAGGATCAAAATCAGTGGCTGAATTGAATTTTTCATATTTGGCAACTGGTTGCAAAAAACTGGGTGACAGCTGTTTGCAACCAGTTGCCGAACCTTTTGCATTCACTTTGCACAGGTCACCTGGACCTGTGCAAAGTGAATGCACAGGTCTCAAAATAATCTTAATCTCCCTCTGCAACCACTCTCAGACAGATTGGAGAAGGTTTTTAAATAGCTGCCCTCTAATTTATAAAAGCAAATGGATTTTCAATAAGTTGCAATCAGCATGAGCCTGAGTAAAACTCGTTCGCAAGACATCTTTCTGCAATAGAGAACTTGCCTCAACTGGTTACCTGCTAGTTGTATGCAAGGTTGCTGAGCACCTACTCACAATTTTCAGTTGTGAATGTTTTAATTTAAGTAAATTAACCCATTTACTATTTAATATTTTGATCATTTTGATGTTTCCTGAATCAAACAAATGACAGATTATTTTAATATTAACATGTAGCAGGTGCCATGCAAGTGAATAGGTCATCTTTTTAAGTAGCAAACCTTCAGCAGTAGCTGATACTTCATGATCCTCTGAACAGGTTTGATAAGCAGGTCATTGAGCTGCAGCCTGTGACCGAGCTGTTGTCTGAGGTCCTGTCAGAAGACAAAGATGGAAAGAAATGTGAAAAACAAGGTTTTTTTAGGCTGAAAAAGTCATCTCTGGGGACAGAGACCGTTGGACTCTTACCTCAAAGTATGTCTCGATGTATTCAGAGACAATGTGCTCGGACTTGGGTTTGTTCTGACAGTAAACCACATACATGTGAAGACGCCGCTCCTGGAAGTGGAAGAGGAATAATGGAAATTATTACAAATAAGTGTGGAGCAATGGGCAGGGTAAGAATTACACCTTAGTGTCCAAATCTGAATTAGACATGATGCAGTAACCTAAAGAAATAAAGATGTTTGGTCCGAAAATCAAATCAAAACTATGAGTTTATTCTGTTATATTCTTGCTGTAGCACAGCAATACGGATGCTCGACTGTAAAGTGCCAATAATCGTTTTCCACACCCTTCCAGTTTCTCCACATTTTGATGTTTTACATCAAAACACAAAATTTAGAGTAAAAACAACAAAAAAAACTTTTAATAGAGCTCAGAGAGGTGTAGATTCAGCTCCTTTTTACAAACAGCAGGGTCTCAGTGGAAGCGTCTTCGACACTAATTGCTGCCTGTTATTTACCAGCTGCACCTGCAGTCAGCTGATCTACAAAAAGAAAACACACCTGCACAGCAGCAGGCCGAGGCATTACACCACTGGGGGCTGTGATGACTAAATGTTCAGCCAAATGTTCAGACTGAGGAAAAAAAAGGACACTAGTCTCTCACTGATCTTTAGGCTCACATGTTTGATGAAGAGCCGGGCCAGGCTGTCTGGATCACCCACACATTTCTCCAGCTCTCCCAGGAAATAACTGTGTGACACGAAGCACAGAAGGTCAGGCAAAAGCAGCCAACCAGCCAAACACACACACACGTACTCAGAGGCAGGAAACAAACAGCAGCAGGGGGTATGACACATGCTCAACAGTTATGAAACATGAGAAGTTTGGGGGGGAAACTTGTTAAACATAAGAGATGTTCATATTCAGAGGAACTCAGGGGGGAGACATTCTGACTCACTCCTTATGCCAGTCATAGATCTGGTGGATATTTCCAAACACAATCCTGTCCTTTCCTCTCAAGTCCTCAGGAACGCCCTGATTACCCATGGTGGCCATGTAACCCTGTATAAACACAAACATGTATCGAAGTTGCTTATTTCTATACGGGAAATAAACTCCTTTGCTTTTGGTACAAATTAAGGAATGTCAGGTGTTTCTTATATAAATACTAATAAGTAGATCATTTGAGGTGAGGCATACCTGCACTATAAGTCCAAGATCTTCAACATATAGCCTTTCTGTCTCTATCAGCTCTGTTAGCACGTATCTGAAAGACAAACATTAAAAAACAGGACTACTGTATTAGAAGCATTTGCAAGTTTTGAGAGTTCAACGAGATGCTTGAGGATGATCTCAGGGCTCTGTGCGAAATATCAATCACAGTTAGTCACAGTTCTCTCAGCATAAAGGCATGAAACAAGGGCAAACACATAGCCTTTATCTATAAAAGGGAAAAATGATAAAAGAGCAGGGCGATCATTCCACAATTTGGGGGAAATAATTGAAATTGGACGATTGCCCGTGATTTTCAGAGGGGTTTTTGGGACTGCCAGGAGCAGCTGGTCCATGGACCTCAGCAATCCTGAAGGGATAAAGAAGTTAAAGAAGTTACAGTCATTGGTATAATGCTTTAGACTTACATGCTCTTCTCTAAAGCAATGTTTCTCTCTTCTTCACTGTCCACTGTACCAGAACACTGGCTGGTTGAGTCATCGGTTACAGTACAGCTGTCCTCCCGTTGCAGAGTGTTGATGCTTTGACTCTAAAACACAAAAGGAAAACATTACATCTTTTGGCATTTCTGTAACGTACAGTATTACATTCAATCAGAGAGGTCAGTTGGTTAAAGTGCTTTGAATGACTGTGAAATAAAGAGTAGAAAAGTAACTCTAGGTACTTTTATTCAAGTAGTATTGTAGATACAGCAGTATTTTAATCTGCATGCTAGTTAAAAATTCTGGATACTTCTTCCCCCACTGCAGCACAGTGCTGTAGAGCAATCCATCCACACACACTAAAATCATTAGGCTTCATGTACGGCACATCCAGTCAGTAATCGCCGCGGGAAACACATCAGTGGGGCAATTTTGAGTAACCTGAGAATAATAAGCACATTTTCTGTGCTGCTAAGGAGAGTGTTGGGCAGACAGCAAGGTTAATAATGAGCAGTTTCTCAAGTCATATACTGTAACTGAGAGCCTGCTAACTGAAAAATGCACAGAAAGCTGTTAAGTAACAACATCACTCTTCACCTAAAAGCACTGTAATCAAATGTGAATTTAACTGGAATCCTAATTTTTATCTTTTGCCTCGGTGAACAAGAGCCTATTGCAGAATCAGAACATGTTGTCAAGTAGATCAAATGTACATTTTATATTTGGAGAATGACTCAAATGTGTGGAGCTCAACTGGTTTGCAGGGATGCTCTGTTCTGCAATGACTTGCTGTTGTGCTGTCAGATAACTGGTGATGCTCTGAGATCAGGGAGCAGCTCAGCGGCTTCTCCAGCAAACAGTTTAATTTTCTAATTTATTCAAATTACTGAAAGAAAAAGCAGCAAGTACAAGTAGCACATGTACAAAGCGCTACTACTTTAGACAATGTATTACACAACATCCCAACTTTCCATACTATCCTGGCCTGATTCACCTGACAGTGTCCAGACTTTTTGCGTGCAAACAAATTTATGAAGCTGCTCATACATGCTGGTGATTAGTGGTTGTTACTAGTCTCTGCGCCAGGCTAACTGCCTTTTGGATGTTTCTTATACTGACCAGACAAACCATGTATCCAATATATTTTCCAAACTATTAAACTACTCTTTTAAAGGGACAGTAAGACTGTTTATAGTAACCCAGGCAGCAGCAGAGTAAACAGTTAATAACTGAAAATAAATATGAAGCTACAGGTATCTAAGCAAGGACATTTTTCTGCAGGGCCATGAGTCAAAAAAGGCTAAAAGTGAGAGCAATCATTTATTAAGAAAAACAATGTGCTTTATGAGTTAAATGATTATTTTAATCATTTAAAAATTCCTTTTATCACCTTTGCAAAGCTTACAAAACTTTACTCTGTCATCTTTGGAGAAGTGTCCAACATCCACAGACCTCTTTCTCACCTTGCCTTTGAGGCTCTTCTTCTAATTTTGGCATGCACTCAGCCCTCAACCCTAACCCTGTTAAAGGCTGTTTTCTTTACTTAATTACTTCCAGATGCGATCAACAAAAGCCCACAGGATTCAATCTACTCCACTCCCTCTCAAAGATTACTCAGTACAGTGTAGGGTTTCTGAGAAATATTGTCGGTGCTTTTATATATTTATTTGTGTGTGAGCATGCACATGAAAAATGCAGCAAAATTGAGTCATAATGCACAAAGGTCAGGTGGTGTATATGAATAGGAGTGCTTTTATATGGGCAGGATGTAGATGGAGACATGTGCAGTGTAAGTGTAATTATGCTTTAAGTTATTCATTATCTGCTACCAGCTCTGCATTACATTATCAGAAGATTTAATAACAAGAGACACTCCATGGAAGATCTGTGGGAAAGTGCAGAGGACTTTACTGTTTTTTGTGTTTTTAAAATATATTCTTAACCAACAAATTGCCCAATTAATTGTTTAATTCAC